GGTTCAGCAAGCCAGATCCCACGTGGCCAACTTTATGGTTGGAGTCCTGGCTCCGGTCACTTGAAAAACATGCCAGGCCTGTGTGCGTGCGTGCCCAAAATACCAACTGGGTGGGGGAGTAAAGGAGGAAGGGATTGTGGCTTGGCACGGCCCGTCAGGGGGTGCTTTTTCCCTCTTGCCCTGTCTCTTTTTGTCCCTCTTTCTCTCTGGCAAGTGCATGAGCCCCTTGACAAGTGGCTAAAAGAAACAAAAAACGCAAACAAAGGGAAGCTCTTACTAGACTGGGCGGTGGCCTCCCTGTGCCTTTCTCTGGCTGGCCCTGGAGCGGCCCAGTGGACAAGCTGCTACCCTGGGAGCTTCACCTCCTCAGCTTGCACTGCTCGGGATTATGGGACCTGCCCTGTGGGGATGTCATGAGGTTTACATGAGTTAATAATAGAGGAACCCTGGGGTTGCCAGGTGGTGTCGTGGGGAAGGGTGCTGGATTCCCACATGACTGACTGTGGTTCGAGTCCCAGACCTGGTGGTTTGCATTCTCACTTTCCCTTTCTCTCTCTCTGTCTCTCTCTAGTCAAATTGAAAAATAATAATAAATGGAATTAAATAAATATTTTTAAGGGGGGGCTGGCAGGTGACGTGATGGCTAAGGGAACTGGACTCCCACATGACCAACCACGGTTCGAGTCTTGGACCTCCAGCTTGCTTTCTCACTCTCTCTCTCTCTCTGCTCCTCTCTGGTCAAATTAAAATATAAATAAATAAATAAATTTAAATAAAATAATTCTAAAAATAGTAATAACACATGAAACACTTGGGACAGTTCAGTAAAGGTAGCTATAGCTGTTTTCATTCTTTTTCCTGGTGACAATTTTCTCTTTGTGAGCTACACTTTTTTTAATATCAATATTTCCTTTATAATTATTTTATTTAACTTTTTTTTTTTTTTACTTATTTTTTAATTTGACCAGAGAGGGGTAGAGAGAGGGGGGGAAAAGTGAGAAGGCAAGCTGCCAGGTCCAGGACTCAAACAGCAGTCAGCCACGTGGGAGTCCAGTGCCCGTAACCATCACGCCACCTGCCGGCCCCCCCTAAGCTACACGTTTCACCTCCCCTGCAGGCCAGGGACTGCCCCTTGATATATAATGGCAGAGGGGTCAGGGAGGTCTCTTTGACTTACAGAGGAGGGAGGGCGATTTCCCACACTGTGGGAACAGCAAGGCCAGGGTTTGCTGGAGGCCTGAGGAACCAGCAGCAGGGACGTGTCCTGCCTCCATCACTCACCAGCTGGGTGTTCCCAGCAGGCCACAGACCCTGAGCCTCGGTCATGCCAGGCAGGAAGTGGGAGGACAGGCATACACGTCAGCGTGGTCGAGAGTGTTAAGATGAGACAGCGTGTACGGGAGCCGGTGTGGCTCACAGCAGACTCTTATGAGAAAAGCGCTCCCCCGCCTCTGTTCACAGGAGTCTCCTGTTGAGTGGAGGCCCTTTTCTCTCTCCTTTAGCCTGTAGCTATTTCCCAGGATGGGTTTGGCAGGAATGGGTCCAGAATGGGGCATGATGAAGGGGACCCGGGAACATAGCCCAGCAGACAGCAGAGAGATGCTTCAGCAATCCAACCCCTTGGCCAGAGGTTCCAGTCCTAAGCTGGGCACCTGGCCATGGCAACTTGAGTAAAGCCATTTGGCCACTCACCCAGGAGTTGGGATGAAGGATTGTCACAGTGTCATGCAGCAGTAAAGCAAGAGTGAGACCCCGAGGCCTTCTGGATGAAAGTGTCGTGGCTCCCTTAGGTTGGCTGCTGCTCAGGGAGGGTTTCTGGGCCTGGTCGGGCCCACCTGGGAGTTCTGCGGGCCAAGCTGTTAGTCCCTGCCCGGCGCCATCCTGAAGGGTCCAGGTGTTCCCTCCTGACACGGCAGAGCTGCAGAACTGGGCACCAGCTCGCCCCAGCATTCCCCGGCCATCCGGCTCCCATCACAGGATGCGCTTAGTGCCCAGGGTGCACTGGGCCGGGGACGCCCAGCCCTGCTGTCGGGGCACATGGGGCAGGTAGTTTGCAGACAGTTGTCAGGGAGCTGACGCGGCCTGCAGTCTGCATTGCACGTGGCATGCAAGTGCGGGGAAGCTTTCACAGGGGCAGGCAGAAAGCAACGCATGGAGGTTCCCGGGTGCCCTTCATCCGCCCTGTTCTGGACCCAGTCCTGATGAACCCACCCCAGGAAACAGCTACCGGCTGAAGGAGAGAGAAAACGAGGGACTCCCGTGAACAGAGGCGGGAAGGAGCTTTTCCAGCAAGAGTCTGCCGGGAGCCACGCCGGGCTCCCACACACGCTCTCATCTAAATTCTCCCGACGACTCTGTGACATGTGTACCTGTCCTATAATGCAGAAAATAATGCTAACTGAAGACAGAGGCTCCTGCATCAGGCTCCTAATTTTTTTCCTTAAAGAATTATTTATTTAATAAAAATTAATTAATTTATAAATAAATGCTGATGAATAAATCATTAATTATATTATCTATAAATTAATAATAAGTAGTCATTCATTTTTATTGTTTATTATGAATAATTTATTTCTTAATGTAATGATAAATAGAATTACATAAATAATTCTTTAAGGAAAAAAAATTAGGCGCCTGATGCAGGCCCCTCCCTCCGCCTCTGGGATGGGGCTAAAGCGGCGTCCCGGCCTTGTCGTCTCTTTGCAGAACATCGTGGCCGTGGGAGCCGTATAAGTAGTCATTCATTTTTATTGTTTATTATGAATAATTTATTTCTTAATGTAATGATAAATAGAATTACATAAATAATTCTTTAAGGAAAAAAAATTAGGCGCCTGATGCAGGCCCCTCCCTCCGCCTCTGGGATGGGGCTAAAGCGGCGTCCCGGCCTTGTCGTCTCTTTGCAGAACATCGTGGCCGTGGGAGCCGGGTTCTGCGATGGCCTCCGCTGTGGCGACAACACCAAAGCCGCCGTCATCCGCCTGGGGCTCATGGAGATGATTGCCTTTGCCAGGATCTTCTGCAAGGGCCAGGTGTCCACAGCCACCTTCCTGGAGAGCTGCGGGGTGGCCGACCTCATCACCACCTGCTACGGAGGCCGGAACCGCAGGGTGGCCGAGGCGTTTGCCAGGACCGGGAAGGTAGCCCGCCGCACCACTGCTCCTCGCTGGGAACGCCTGGGCCCGGGCGAGCCTAATGCCGAGTCTGCGCTTTGCTAGGGTGGCTGTTTCCATGGCCGCCTTCTCTCCAGTCCTCTGACTTTTACCTCATGCAGCCTTTGTGTTCCTTGGCTTGTGCAGGGACCACAGCTCTCCTCTCCCAACTCTCCTCTTGAACTAACTGAACCTTTAGTCTTAACCCTAGATTTCTCTTTTCAATCCTTTCAGACCATTGAAGAACTGGAGAAGGAGATGCTGAACGGGCAGAAGCTCCAAGGGCCGCAGACTTCAGCCGAGGTCTACCGGATCCTCAAACAGAAGGGGCTGATTGACAAGTGAGTGTTCCATTGTCCAGGAGCCCAGATAAATGTCCTCCCCTCAGCCCGCGTGGCTGTCAGCCCCCAGCACAGTAGCGCAGCTACTGGACAAGCGTGCTTAACGATCTCCTGGAATCGTCCAGTCCTCTGGGTGCTGTGGGCCCCTGCCTGCCCTGACCATGAGCGTGTACACTGCCAGGCTCAGCCTCAGCGGGAAGGGCTCGTTCTATAAGGCACATTACAGAATAAGAAGTTTAGCTTCTGCTTCCCTGCAGGCTGTTTGGTAAGAGCTACATGCCATACCTCTTGAATTTTTCAAAAATAATTATTTATTTTTTTTTATTTTATTTTTTTTATTTTTGGAGAGGTTTTCACTATAGGGCGCGTGCGCTCGCCAGACAGACAGAGAGAGACATAGAGACAGAAAGCGAGAAATCAGCCCCCAGGGGGGATGGTCACGCCACAATCCCTTCTCCTCCATTCTCCTCTCGGGATCTTGGGCATGCACACACACACGCCTGGCGTGAGTTTTAAGCCACCGGATCCAGGACGCGAACTGCGGTGGACTACATGGGTGTCCAGCGACATAGCCATTACGCTAACTGCTGGTTCCCAAAAATAATTTATTTTTAATTGCCAGCGAGCATGTATACTTCCAGAGACAGAGAGAGAGGAAGAGGAGACAGCACCTCCCAGTGGGACGTGATCACATCATCATCCCTTCTCTATTTCTCTGTCATGTCGGAATGTGGGGAACACGTGTCCTGGGTCCTGGGTATTTTTCAAGCCACTGAGCGTGGTGTCTCTGTTTCTCTCTGTCCTTGTGGCAAATGTACGCACCCTATAGCAAAAACCTCTCAAAAAAAAAAAAAGAAAGAAAGAAAGAAATAGACCTAAGAATAAAGCTGCCTCCCCCCACCCCCCGCGCAGAAAAAGAAAAGAAAAAACGAATGTAGAACGCAGAAGTGGTCGCCATGTCTTCCAAAGTAGCACACTAACCTGTAGCTTGTTTAGGCAGGTCAGAAACACTTGGTAAACCAGATGGCCTAACCTTGTCTTTTTCCCATTTCTCCCCAACTAGGTTTCCGTTGTTTACTGCAGTGTATCAGATCTGCTACGAAGGCAGACCGGTTCAAGAGATGCTGTCTTGTCTCCAGAGCCATCCAGAGCATATATAAAACGAACCGTGCCGTGCGTCGGGGAAAGGTCTGCCTTCCCAGCCAGCCCGTTGAGTTCACATGGAAACCACGACTTGGCCACAAGACGTTTGCCTAATGTAATCCTACCCTGGATGCGCGTGGAGTTGTGCAGGCGTGCGCAGTCAGACGCAGTCCGTTGACGCTGAGATGTACAGGGCAACAACTAAACACACATGCAAACATGAGTGTGTGTTCCTCTTTCCTTCTGTGGGTGTTTCCGTGACCCAAACGAAAGGTCCTTTTTCAAAAACTGCTTTCGAAATTCCCCCTCCTTGGTAGTGTATCAGATTGGAACTAACTCAGCTAAGATTTTTTTTTTCAATGTAATTCATATGTATTTGAGTGGAAGAATTCTTTTTTTCTTTCTTTGGGTATTAAATTTTAACCAGCATTAACATGATAGCCAGAATGGACGAGTGAGTGCGTTAGGGATCAACTTATTTAACTTTTAACACTATCTCAAAGCCAGCATAATGAACTCCTTCAATCGTGGACTGATCATTTTTTTTTTTAATATGAGATCTTTTTAATTAGATAATCCATTTAGGTGTTTTTCTCTCACTGCAGTTTTCTGCATTTTAGTCTCTTTCTCTTGGTTAGCTGCCTGAACGTGTTTTTATACAGACCCAGCAGTGATGGAAGACAGAAAACTCACTAAGGGTTTTCCTTTGTGACTGCCACTGTCTTCCGATTTACAGTAGACGCATGCGTCATGCTTTCTGCTAGGCAGTGCTTTTTTTTTTTTTTGCAAACATTTCCTTTAAGCCTCAACGATCTTGATCTCATGAGAGCCAGTGGCTGTTACTACTTTCTTAAGATGCAGGCTCTGGGGACCAGCAGTTAGCATGATGGCTATGCTCGTAAGATGCAGACTCTGGGGACCAGCAGTTAGCGTGATGGCTATGTCGCTGGACTCCCACGTAGTCGACCGCGGTTCGAGTCCCAGATCCGGTGGCTTAAAACTCATGCCGGGCGTGTGCGCACGTGCCCAAGATCTCGAGGGGAAAATGGAGGAAAAAGGATTGTGGCATGGCCATCCCCCCTGGGGGGTGATTTCTCGCTTTCTATCTCTCTGTCTCTTTCTGTCTGTCTGGCGAGCGCAAGCGCCCTATAGCAAAAATCTCTCTCTCAAAAAAAGATGCAGGCTCTGGGATAAAATAAGATGCAGGCTCTGGGCCTGGTCGCCTGGTGAGTAGGGACAGAGCCAGGAGTCAAGTACAGCACTCCACTCCCCCTCCAGGGTGTGCACCTTCTGAGACATCCCTGGGCTGATTTGACCTCAGCTAATTGATTTGGCCGTATGCAGCTACAGGAGGGCTCCCTGCAGCTGAGGCCTGTGTGGGTCATTGTCTCCATAAGACACTGCTCCGAGTGTGGTCCTCAGTCCAACAGCATCGGCTGCACTCGGAGTCTCTTAGAGATGCAGGCTGCTGGTCCCACCCCGGGCCTCTGCCGTGCTGTGGGACCAGCACTTCGGCATGCCTTTTGTGTGTTCAGATCCCCACTCCGACTTAAGAACCACTGCTTTAGAAAACCTACTAGAGTGGGACCAGCAGATGGCATAATGGTTACGTTGCTGGACTCTCATGTAGCCCACTGCTGTTCGAGTCCCAGACCTAGCAGCTTAAAACTCACCCTGGAAGTGTGTGCATGCTCAAGATCCTTAGAGGAGAATGGAGGAGAAGGGATTGCAGCCCTCTGGGGAGGGCGATTTCTTGCTTTCTGTCTCTCTGTCTCTATCTGTCTCTTTGATGAGTGTACACATCCTATAGCAGAAATCCCTCTTTTTTGGGGGAGGGGAGAGATTTTTGCTGCAGGGCGCATGTGCTCGCCAGACAGAGAGAGACAGAGACAGAAAGCGAGAAATCACCCCCCAGGGGAGATGGCCATGCCACAATCCCTTCTCTTCCATTCTCCTCTTGGGATCCTGGGCACGCACGCATATGCACCCAGCATGAGTTTAAGCCACCGGGTCCGGGACACGAACCACGGTCGACTGCATGGGAGTCCAGTGACATAGCCATTACGCTAACTGCTAGTCCCAAAAATCCCTCTTTATTTTTTTTTTTGTAAAAAAAAAAAAGAAGGGACAACAGATGGTGTGGTGGTTAAGGTGCTGGAGTCCCACATGGCCAACCATGGTTCAAGTCCTAGACCTGGTGGCTTGCTTTTCCACATTCTCTTTCTTTCTCTCTGTCTCTCTCTCTGGTCAAACTGAGTAATAATAATAATAATAAATAACATAAATGGTTCTTTAAAAAAAACGAAAGAAAGAAAACCTACTAGAGCGTCCAGTTGGAAATGAGTGTTGTGGCATGCTGTGGTGATTCCAGGTGGTCCCTGGAAAGGGCAGGTGAGTGTGGGGAAACTGCCTGTCGACTCGTCTTGAAGGGATAGGATGAATGTAGTAAGTGGGTGAAACCTGTTTGCTTATTAACCCAGCAAGTCCCAAGCACATTAGACGACAGAGATTGTTGTGGCAAGTAAACTTGCTAAAGTTTCCAGGGAACACTGTTCTAGGCTAGGGTGACCTTAGGGCAGACCCTTCACTCCCTACGAAGTCGGTGCGAAGAACTTACCTGTGGTATTGTTAGTCGTGAGCTTTTAGAGTTCCGGTCTGCCGTGAATCTTCGATGAAGCTTTAAGGTGACACTGTCAGATCCAACCCGATGGATGTCAACCTCGCTGATAACGCACATTTCGTGGAATAAGTGCTTTAATTCTAGAATTAGAGTGGGATTACTGTACCTTGTAAATGAGATTGGTTCCAGAGTAGCATTATATAGGTAACTTATGTCATATTTAATAAGTGTTAGAGGAATATATGAATGTCGCTTACAGATCCATGAACTTAAAGTTACTTTGTCAAATTTGGACCCTCCCCTCCACCCCTGGTTTGGATTTCTTTTTTCCTTCTATACCTGAAATGATGATCGAATAGATTTTTGTGGGAATTGGAAAAACTCAACTAAAACTTTTTGGGGGCGATTTCAAAGCCCCATACACGAAAGTACATGAAAACACACAAAATGCTACCATTTTCTGCAATTTTACACCAATGTTACAATTCTGCTTGTTTCGTGAATAAATAAGTCAATAAATAAATCTTTTTTAAAATTTATATATAGGTAATAAAGAATCACTTTTTAAGCTACACAAAGGGCTGTAAGCTAATCGTGGTGTCTACTGAGTAAGAGAATGAGATGTGAGGAATGAGGGTTTTGTGTGTTTTATACGTTGTCATCTGCATTCAACTTCCTACTGTGGGTTTTGTACTCGAGTGTGTGTCCTTCACAAATGCCCTCTTACCACCCTGCAGTCTGCTGGCTGTACCCCCTGGTCATACTTCTGATAGTCTTCATATTATGGAGAACGGTGAATTTTCTAAGTGTACGCTCTGCTAACTGTATTTATTACTCCACGAGTTATCTATTTTTGTAACCACCCATCCTCTGTCATTTCTTTTCATTTACATTTCTGATTCATTGTGATCCCAGGGAGGGAGGCACCCAGATTAATTTGTACGATTTCAGAAAACCTGTGAATGTAAAATCCATACTATGGCCTTGCATAATCCACCCTACTGTAATGTAAAATAAAGATCTGCTTTGAAATCCGCTCTATGAGATAGAGTCAAGCTCACCTTTCTGGTTCTTCATTTCACTCTTAGCTGTGCCATGGCCCGTGGCATTGGCCTAAGGAGAGTGTGGTGGGGAGGGGACAGGGGACAGAGGGAACGGCAGTTTTCTAATTCTGACCTGTTCGCCTTTTACCTGCATGTGTACTGGATCTAGTTACAGACTGGAGGTCGATATGTTCCCTAAAAGCTTGATTTAATAAACACTTAACCCCCTCGAGCCTGTGCTACTGGTCCTGTTTTTTTCTGAATGATGTTCTATTACCAAAATTCCAGACAGTTGAAAAAGAAAGGCTTGGGCCAGCTCTATGGCCTAGTGGTTGAGGGAACCCAGATCCCATGTGGTCCACTATGACTTGAATCCCAGCCCCAGGGGCTTGAAAACATGCTGGGTACAGGCCAGCAAGTGGTGTGGTAGTTAAGGCGCTAGACTCCCACATGGCTAACTGCAGTTTGAGCCCCAGACCCGGCAGCTTGCTTTCTCACCTTCCCTTTCTCTCTCTGTCTCCCTCTGGTCAAATTGAAAAATAAAGAAAAATAACAAAGAAAATTAATTAAATATATAATTTTTTAAAGAAAAAAACAAAACCATGCTGGGTACATGTGCATACGTGCCCAGATTCCAGCAGGATAGAGAAATGAAGGAGACGGGATTGCGGTGTAACCACACCCCGCTGGGAGGTGCTTTCCCTCTCTCCCTCTCTCTGGGTTACATATGGGACCTCTGGCAAAACTAAAAAATAAATAGATACAATGAAAAAAACAGAAGGCAGGCTTCATCTCTACCCTAGTCCTCAACAAGCATTGCTTGCATAATTGTAATTTAGGACGAAGCCCTTTCAGTTCTAGCCATGCAGTGGACAGATGGACTTGAAGTGCCCTCCTATTCCTGTCGCAAACAACTAGAGAAGGTAGGAAAACATATCACTTTATATGCAGGACTGATCTCACCAAAACGTGAGGAGTGACCTAGTCACAGTGGCACACCGGAAGTCCCACCACTTGGAAGTCTTGGAGATGAATGAGAGGCCGGATCAGCACCTGGGCCAGCCGGGCGCAGAACAGTCGGGCACAGCGGCGCTCTCGTAACCCTGGCTGGCTGGGAAGTTGGGGCACGAGGGTCACGATACAGCAAGGCCCTGTTCAGAATGGCTATGTTTAGAGCCAGCAGGTGGCATAGCGGTTACGACACTGTACTCCCCCTTGACCGGCCACAGTCTGAGTCCCAGCCTTGGCCTGCAACTCTCACCGGACACGCATGCACACACATGTGGCCAAAATCCCAAGAGGAAAATGGAGGAGAAAGGATTGCAGTGTGGCCTTCCCCGGGGCGGTGGGGGCGGTGGGGGCGGTGGTGGTGATTTCTTGCTTTCTGTCTCTCGAGTGAGTGCACACGCCCTATGGCAAAAATCTGTCTCAAAAAATAAATAAATAAATACAATTTCGTTATTCGAACTGCCATTTTATTAAAGCAGGTGTTTGCTTATAAGCGGAATCATGGTTGACCCTGAAAGTTTATATAGTCGCAGAGTGGTACATGGAAGGGAGCTGTTTACAAGGAATGTTGAAACAAGAAACACTTTTTAAAAAAGGAAAAAAGAACTTACTGTTTAAGCAAAACTCCAGAAGCCTTTTGTGAAACTGAGGGTAAAGATGCTTTCCTGGGAAAGTTCCGGGTCCCCATGAACTGTGACTCTCATGCCCACCAGGGGTCACTCTTCAGGAATGACTGGTCCTGGGACAGTCGGCATCCTGTATAGAATAGCATCGTGCTTCTCATGAAGTAAGCTAGTCTGCTAGGAAGTGGCTCAACGTTGAAGTTTCATTCTGACTTTTTTTTTTTTTTTAGAGAGAGACTTTTGCTATAGGGCAGGCGTGCTCACTGGAGACACAGAAAGTGA